TAGGCCACCGGGGAGGATTTTGTTTTCTTTTCAGGGTTTAACAGTGGGCATGAGTGGGGCAGGGTCAGCGCAAGGCAGGTCTAGCCCTTGTCCAGGGCCTGTGATTAGGAACGTAAACCCTGGCCCCCAAGCTGTGGGGGACACTGTGCTCCACCTGCCAGCCAGGGAGCTGCCTTATCCGTGTCTGGACAGGGGCACCTGCATGTCTATCTGGAGCCCCCCTGGGGGGCCACATAGGCCAGAGCTGTGGAGGTCCCTTGGGCATCGCTGGGGTCCTGGGCACCCCAGGCACACTGTGGCTGCCTCCTCTGAGGACTCCTGGGAATCTCCACTTAGGCTCAAAATCTGTGATCATCCAAGGACTGGCTTTGTGGCTCTTGGGCCGGGGCTGTCTTGGAGTAGAACGGGGCCTCAGGAGAGCGTTTCAGGGCAGGAGGTGACGATCCAGCCTGGGATGTGATCAGCCCCACCCCTTGGTGACTGGAGTGGCCACCTGTCTGTGGACTGGCCACTTAAGACTGCCAGTTGTCCTGGTCAGACCTTGCTGAGCAAGCCCTGGTTGTGTTCACGACATGGCAAGAGCCTGCTTCTCAGCTGGTGGGCATGCAGGTGCCAGGCAACAGGGGACGCTCCATGTGGCATCCCTGAAGCCTCCAGCCAGCTCCATTCCCAGCAGAGGCTGCTCCTTGCAGATGGGAGTGAATGCAGCCTGTTCTCTGTGTGACCCAGTGACTGTTGCCTGAGCGGCCAGCGGCCCATCCTCATGGAGGGTATCAAGGAAGGGGCCCATTAACCCTGGCCAGGCCTCCACCCTGTGCGGGCACTGGGGACCATGGAAGTCCTACGCACGTGGCTGCAGGTTAAGGTGACACTTGGCTCCAGGGGTTACAAGGGAGGACAGTCTCCAGCGGCTTTGTGGGAGTGGCTGGGTTACTGGGGTTAGCGTTAGCCACTGGCAGAGAAGGACACAGGGCTTTTGCAGCCCCATCACCTGACCATGTGCCTCCATCCCTCCCCCTCTTCATAGCGTTGCCCACTGCCCAGTGTCCAAGGAGGAGGGACACACGCTCATCCTTCGGGACAGGGCATGCGCCATGCATGTGGTTCCCGAATGTGTCTGTTGTGTCCCCGGACGTGACTGCCACCAAGGCTTTGCTAGCTCCTGGGCGACTTCATACCCTCAGCCCAGCTGCCAGCCCCATGTGGCCCCCCTTCACGCCGTGTTCTGTCCAGGACCTCTCTGCCCTCTCTCCTCCCATTGTGGTCCTGGCTTTTCTGCCTGTGTTGGTTTGGGGGATTTGTGGAGGCCACGCTTTGGAGGTGTTGCTTGTCTGCATCTTTCTCCTGCCCCTAACCTTGCCAGTGGCTGGGCACAGTGGTCTGGGGTGAGCTCATTTTCCATCAGGAGTTCTGAGGGAGCCTGCCATTGTCCCCAGGCCACAGGGATTGCTCAGGAAGCCCCGGCCGTGTGAGGCAGGATGGTTTTGGTGTCCCCTGAGACAGAGTCTCACTATGTAATTCAGATTGGCCTCAAGCTCTCCACAATGCTCCTGCCTCAGCTTCCCCAGTGCTGGGGTTACAGGCGAGCACCACCACACTTGGCAATGCACCCTTGATTCTTGAGCTGTCACTTGTCTTAGAAGTCTGTCTGGGCTGTTCTGAGGTGCCCACCCCGGCCCCTGTCCTGTGTGTACTCTGTTGGCAGTGTCCTGTCCTTCTGCTGGGATGTCACCTCCAGCCCTTGGCTCTCTTGCTCTCACTGGGCTGCCTCCTTCCTAACCAGGCCTCTATTTGGCTTTTCTTCCCTATTTTGACTTTTTGTGCTTGGAGCCTTCCTCCAGAAGCCATTCTCCCCGCCGCCCTCCAGCCTTCCTGGTCCATCATTTCTCTGAAAGTCCTGCTTCATGGCTTTCCAGGGCCTCCCTATGCATGGGTCTGAGCTCTCTGCTCCTGTGTGACCCCTGTGGCCTGCTGGTTCCTGCCCCTCTTTAGTTCATGGCACAGCAGATGCTTTCTAGGTGTTGGCAGCCCCTTGATAACAAGGGTGAGGCACACAGGCAGACTGCACCTCCCCTAGTAGAGGTGAGAGGCCCTGTGTTCATCACAGCACGCCCCCCACAGCCACACGTCCCACCCCTGATGAGGAAGGGCTGGCACTTTGCTGCTGTCCATCTACGGCCCAAAGCCCCTCTCTCTGCTGGGCTGCATGCTCAGAAAGACCACAAGGCCAAGTGCAAAGGCACACACCTATAATTCTAGCACTTGGGAGGCTGAGGAAGGAGGATCACAAGTTCGAGGCCAGCGTAAATTACATAGTGAGACCCTGTCACAAAGAAAAAGAAAGGAAGGCCTTGAGCAGCATCACAGCAGCCACCTAGACAGTGATGGCTCTGGAGGGTGGACACAGGCGACGGGGCAGTTCTCATCAGCGTCTGGTTTCCAGGCCTGTCTGCCGGCAGGGGTAGACACGGTGGCAAGAGGGTGCACTAGGAGGAAAACAAACGGAAAAGGCCACGTGGAAGAAGGCCCTGCCGCCACCAGCGCTGCACCAGCTGCTGCTGGGACTGGCAGCATGCAGCTGCTCACCTGTGGGGGCTGGCATCACGGCCTGTGACAGGAGTGTGCGTCCTAAGTCCCTGAGGCCCCTCCAGCCATATACAGTGGCAGTCACGAGTGACGCGTTTGAGTGAGCCAGACTCACTGCTGCTCTAACATTGAGGGATCACTGCAGAGTCCGTGCACTTGTGAAAAATAACTGAGATCCCAGGTCCTCTGCATCCAGCCCCCACCGGCACTGTAACACCAGGACACTGTCACAGCCCTAGAGGAAGCCCTCCCCCCACAGGTCCAGCCCTTGGTGCTGATCACTCCCCACTGAGTGTCCTCGCCCTGATGCCCTCAGTCGTCAGCTGTCATCTGGAGCCCCTCACTGTGTGCCCGCAGTGCCTGCTCTGGCTGGAGCCTCCCACTGGCCTAGAGCCTCTCTGTTTAAAGGAGGAGTGTTTAGCCCGGACTCTGGGAGAGACCGGAAAGGCTGCTCTTGTACTGGGCCCTGGCTCTTGCATCAGCCAGAGAGCACTTCAGGAGTTCTCATCGCCTTCAGACAGAGGCCCACACAGTGGAGCTCTTGGTGTTGGTGCTCCCTGAAAAATAAGCTGAATCGGGGCTCGGGATTTAGCTCAGCGGCATAAGCGCCTGCTTTGCAAGCAGGCAGTCGTGAGTTCGATCCCCAGTGCCGATAAAAAAGGAAAAAGACAAAAAAAAAATTAGTTGAATCCATGGACTAAAACGCAAGTCTAAGCCAGGCACGGCAGCACACAGACTTGTCATCCTCGCTATTCAGGAGGCTGAGGCAGGAGGATCTCAAGGAGGCCAGCGTAAGGCAGTTTAGCACAGGAGCTTCTGGTGAGATACGTCAATAGAGAGTTTGGGAATGTAGCTCAGTGCGCCCTGCGTTCAACCCTTAGTACCACCATAGAAATAAAATTGATTTAAAAAGCTTCCTCAGCATACAGTCACGCCTTCCCCACCTGTCCCTATGGCCCTTTTCCTTCTTTGCTGCCCATTCCCTGCTGGCAGACTATGGCCCTGCCAGGGAGGTGGGGGACAGTGGGCATCCGAGGTGTCCCCAGTGCCTGGCACAGAAGGTGCCCAGTGTTTGTTGAGTGAGTGACCCAGGTGGAGGTGTCCAGGATAGCACTCGAGTTTGGACCAAAAGCACCCGTGGGTACCAGTAGGGATGGAGGTAGGCGGCATGGTGTTTCAAGCAACCCAGCCTGAGAAATACTGGAACCTGGAAAAGGCTAGAGAGTGCGCCCTTCTTCTCTGAGTCTTTGTAGGTGCACGGTGCCCACGTGTGTTGGGAGCCCAGCACCCACTGGCCTTGGAGCAGCACAGGACAAGGCTTCGGCCACCACACCCTGTGACTAGACTGCAGGGCCACAGGTCTAGCAGGTCCCACAGCCCTAGCTGACTGCGTGGACAGTGTGTGCCTGCGGCTAGGAACTCTCCCAGCAAGCACTGCTTCTGCTGGGCCAGAGCGAGTGCAGGCCAGCCAGCAGGTCTAGGGGTGCAGCAGCCCTGGCTCTTCCAGCATCCCAAGCCTCGGAGCCCAGTGGACTGAGCTTATGTGCCAGGGGCCCTCGTCAGAGGCTGGGCAGGTGCTGTTGCTGAGGGTGAGTGGCCACACTGTGTGGCAGGGAACCAGGCACAGGCCTCACAGGATGTCCTCTGTGACTGTGCCCCATGTCCTGGTAGGGGCTGGAGATGGAGAAGCGGGGACAGTTCCTGTTTCCAAACTCTCAGAGGTGGACAGGAGGACGCAGCACTGGATGCGCCTGCTGGGGGTACCCTGCCTCCTCCACGTTTTCTCTTCCTGTGTCACTTCCGCCTTCTCCTGCCACCCCAGAAGCTTGTAGGACAGTGTCACTGCTTTGTCTGGCCTCTGGGTCCGCACAGGGGCCAGTGGGTGTGTGGCACTGGCAGTGCGTGAACACAGTATGACTATCCCTAGGGCGAGGCATGGGGCGGTGGGGCGTGCAAACCCGGAGCAGAGGGCCTGCTCCTGAGACTGAGTCCAGGGAGGAGCGCCAATGGGCGCTGCTGGTAGCCAGGGAGCCCCTCTCAGAGCATGGAGGCTTCATCCAGCCAAGGGTGGGTGGCCCCATGGCAAGTGGAAGAGGCCACTACAGTGTCACCCACAACCAGCACCAAGGACATCCCCTGCCCTCATGTGGGTGGGGATCTGGCAGGGCGCACAGACAGGTGGCAGGTCTCCCCCCACCCCTTCCTGTCCCCTGCAGCTCAGCCCTGTTCTGCATCTCCCCTATCATCTCAGCATCTGCCTGCCGGTCCTCTGCTGCAGAGGCCAGGCATCAGCTAGGACCCTGGGCTGGCTCGCCTGCGACTGTAGGGGAGCTGACGCAGGTGCCTGCCCCTGCCCCTCGCAGATGCCCCTCAGGCCCCTATCCCCTTCCCTTATAAAAGCCTCTTCCTTGCAGCCCACGGGGGTCACCCTGGTCAGTGTCTACGCCAGTCCCAACGACCAGATGCTTTGGGTGCTGGACAGCAGGTGGAACGTGCATGTCCGCACCGGGATCACCGAGGAGATGCCCGTGGGCACCAGCTGGGAACACGTGCCAGGTAGGGACATCCCAGGAGATGGCCCTGCTGGCATGGCCTGTGGCGTGGCCCAGCACCATGGCCTTGTGGGCTGTGGGTTATGGCCTCATGGCCCTGTTCTCTACTGGGCAGCCTGTCCCCCACTGCCACTGCTTCCTCCTCAGGCTCCATGTCGTGCTTGCCATTCTGTGAGGCAGGTGATGGGTACTGCAAGCCGGGTGGTCTCCCAGTGCTTTACAGATGATGGTTTCAGGCAACTCAGACCCTGTGTCCTCTGTCTGTGGCTACCTCAGAGTGGTTCACCTGCCAACAGGACGCCTTGTCCCTGCAGGCCGTGCCATGGGCGAGCCTGGTGTCAGCACCGTCCAGGAGGGCTGGGTGCTGAGTAGTGCTTGTCTGCCTGCAGGGCTGCAGGCCTGCCAGCTGGCGCTGAGCACCCGGACTGTGTGGGCCCGCTGTCCCAATGGTGACCTTGCCCGACGCTACGGCATCACAGACAAGAACCCAGCTGGTGACTACTGGAAGAAAATCCCTGGAAACGTGTTGTGCTTCACAGGCAGGTGCTGGGGCATGGTGGGCTTCGAGGCCCCTGGGGACCCTGGCCAGATCAGTGGGGCTTATGAAAAGGTGGCCCCCACATGGCCTTGCACCTCAGAGCCAGAGCCCAAGCCAGGCCACCTGTTGGGGGAGCCGGCTGTGCAGGCCCCAGGCTGAGCCAGGGTGCAGTGTGCTGCTCGGAGGCATAGGAAAGAAGCCCAGCGGGTACCGAGGTTCCTCTAGGGCCCCACAGCCAGCACAGGGCAGCATCCGGACCCAGAGCAAGGCCCAGGCTGTGCCCCCACCCCAGTTAACAAGCTGTGCCTGGCTATCATCCCTGTAGTGACCTCGTCCGATGAGCTGTGGGCAGTGGGCCCCCCTGGCTACCTTCTCCAGCGGCTGACGAGGACATTTAGCCACACCCATGGCACCCCGAGGAGTGGCCCGTTGGCTGCCACACATCCCGAGGACCTGGAGGACGAGTGGGAGGTGATCTGAGGGAGCGGCACCCACCAGAGGAGGCTCAGCCCTGGGGCTCTGCACCCCGGAGAAGCTGGCCTCATGACATGTGTCCGGATGCACCCAGCCACGCTGACACCCACACTCATTACCCACATTGTTCGTGTCTTGTTCCAGAGCCCACAGCCTCACCCGATTGCCCATAGCTGTCACGCGGCAATCACACTTGTGGCCTCTCGGGAGGTTGCCTCCAGGTGGGGATGGAGCTTCCACCCTATTGCATGCACAGCAGTCAGGCTCAAGTCCACACCCCTGCCTGTGTGGGAGGTGGGGAGCCTGTGTGGCAGGAGGAGCTGGGCTGGACTGCAGACACCTGTGCCAGCAGTGCCAGGTGACAGAGCAGTGCATCCACCATACATCCCTGTCCTCCACATGTGGCCCCTTGGCTCACTCTGTGCTGGACCCGGCCGGACTGGCCAGCCACCTGTGTGGCACTGGGCTGTGTGCAGTGGGAGCACAGTCCCACACTCCTACACTCCTGCACCTGCCATCCACCACCAAGGCCACAGGTGCCAGCAACAGGAGCCGCCTACCATGCCGGGGGAGTGACTTGAGTCAGTGCCGCTGTGGCCGCCAGAGCCAGGCGTTCTGAGGACAGTGTTGCTGACCGTTGCCTTTGTGTTTGTTGTATTACAAACCCTCTTGAGATACCTCATCCAAAACCTAGTCCCATAGGTTTAGAAGAGAAACACATCTAAAAACAGGGCCTGCGGGCCTTCCGCGCTGTGTCCTGTGCCTGTCCAGCCATGGTCACAGGTCCTCAGGATCGGTGGGGGCGCTGCCCACTGGCACTCGAGCTGCACTTGGCCCAAGCAAGTCCTGGCTGCTTTTTTAGCCACTCTGTGTGGCAACACTCGATGCCTGCTTCTGCTGAGTATGTCTTCAGAAGCCCAGGCCACAGGTGACAACAGTAAAACACAGGCTGTGACAGGCCGCCAGCTACTCGGGGGAGGACAGATGTGGCGGCCAGTCTCACATCTCACGTCCTCACAGAAGCTGCCTCCCAGGCCCCCTCACGGGCAGGGCCCTCCCAGGCCTCGGGATGTTCGTGCAGTGAAGCAAGTCCAGCGGTTCTCTCGGCTTCTGCCTTCAGTGCGGGGTGCAGTTTCTGTCTGGTTTTCACCTTCAGTTGTGCTTTGAGTCGTGCAATAAACTCGGCTTTTTGCAAACCTGAGCAAGTTTAGCTCTGGAGCTGGGAGAAGGTGCCCTGGCAGTGCCCCTGAGGGCCAGGTTGGGGCCTTGGGCACTGGGGACCTGGCCAGCGTGAAAGATGTGACGTTTGCCAGGTGTCTCTGCAGGGCTGGGCACAGCCCCGGCAAGCACAGGCTGCCTCCTCATGGCCAAGGGCAGCTCCAGAGGTGTAGGTCCCCGGCCAGCAAGCAAAACCCACACCAGAAGTGCATTATGGGAACTAACATTTGAGAGAGGCTACCTCCACAGTCCTGGGTAGCAGCCCGAGCAAGAAACGTCAGAGATGTCAAGAGATGAGGCTGGTGGGACAGAAAGCACGAGGAGCCAGGTGTGGCAGTCCCACCTGCCATCCCAGCGCTCTGGGAGGCCGAGGCAGAAGGATCACAAATTTGAGCCCAGCCTGGGCAACGTAATAGCAAACGGATTACAGAAACCTCCGATTAGAGGAGAAAGATCTCTAACTCACTGATGGCATGAGCTTTCTAAACTCCAAATGAAGTGGGTGGGGCCAGGGTATTGTCCCGTGCAAAGGCCACAGTGTAACACTCGGTACTGAAAACAGAAGCAGGCAGGCAAACCTGGCGACGAAGTGATGCAGTCCACACTCCGAGACCCAGAGAAGACCACGTGCAGTGCTGTGCCCAGTGCACAGGGAACCCCGGGTTCCCTCCTGGGCGGGTGGTGGAGGGTGACGATAGGGCAGGCACCCACCTCCCCAGAGCCCACACCGGTAGCTCGGGGCTTGAGGCTCGGCTCGGCAAACTGCAGGCCGTCACTGCTGGGTGACAGACACCTCATGGCAGCTGAGTGCTCGCTGCTCAGAGTAGTGACAGGTAGGGCCCGGCCACAGCAGTCAGCAGGGTCACGGGGTGGTAAAAGGGCAGCTTCACAGCTGCTGCGGCTCCCTGCCTAGTGCTGGGGCAAAGTAACAGTGAGTGGATTAAAGAACTTAGTATTGGGGTGACGATCTCTGACCTCGATGGCAAAAACTTGCTGAACTCAGAAGAGATAGGGGCCAGGCACAGTGGCGCTTGCCTGTCAGCCCAACACTCAGATCACGTGGTTCAAGGCCAACTTGAACTGCTACATAGCAAGACCCTGCCTCAAAACAATGGGAAAGCCACTGAAGAAAACCCTTGTGTAGAGCTGATCAGAGCCCCTGTGGAGGACAGGGCACAGCGTGTGCAGAGGCCTCAGGCCTGACCTGCTGCACAGCGTGCTAACCTGGTGTAGGGCAACCACCAAGCCGCCCAGACCTGGAGGTGCCCTGGGCGGGCCCATTCTAAGGCTGGCATGCCGGGTCAGTCCAGGACTCCAGGGAGGGGCTTTGGCAGGCACCCAGACAGCAGAGGCAGAAGCATGCTTCAGACACCTGACACCGGGGCAGGGACCATGCAGTGGGTGCAGTCCACCAGGAAGGCACAAGCTTTGCCCTGGAAATGCATCCCTAGGAACAGTCAGGCTGGGGACAGGGCCCGGGTCATTTATAAGCCGTGATGCCAGAAGCCAGCTGACAGGGAGGAGGCAGGGGAAGCCACTGCCGGAGGCATCTGGCAGATTCGAAACCTCTCCTAGTTCCAGGCACAGGAGGCACCAGAAGTGACAGGTTCTTTACTTGGGTCAAGAAGCTGGGGTCACGGTGGCTGCTTGTGAGCATATACCTTTTTGTATCTTTCAAATTTTGAGCCATGTAAATGTATTTATTCCAAAAATAAATTTACATTTTCAAAGTTCAGTTCTAACACTACTCACAGTGTCAACATTACTTGACTCAGATATCACCAAACACAAAAAAAGACACCTCTGACAGTCCTCCTTACAAAGGAAATGTTGGGGTGGATCCATCGCGTGTGCCTGGCCCCGTTCCCAGCCCCAGTACCCTCAGCACAAGGCTCGTGTTTAGGCAGCAGACCCGCACGACCTTGGAAAGGCACAAAGGTCGCTGTCAGGGAGCTGGGTGGAGGGGCGAGTAGTGGCACTGCAGTGTCAGTGTCCTGCCTCACCCAGCCCTGGACTCCACAGCCCAGCAGAAAGACATTTCCAGCCCCCTGCAGGCAGGAGCTTCCACCCTAACCCATCCGGCTCCGCACTCCTTTACCTGTCTTGTCCTCTTTTCAAGCATCAGGGTGAAGGCAGTCACAGCCCAGGGGGCTGTGGAGAGTCCCTACACCAAGCACCCTTCCCTGGGTGACTCGTGAACTGCGCTCCTACTGCATGGGAAGGAGAAAAGCCCTGGGAAGAGCAGAAAGCGGGAGCAGGAGGCAGGCTCAACACAGCCAGGCCTCTTCCTTGGCCACCCTGTCCTTCAGTCCCTTTGGGAGCTGGGGACAGTGTCAGGGAGGTGGGACACCTCCATGGTGGCTTGAAGCACCTTCATTCCTCCTTTGTGGGGGCCAAGGTCCCAGGTCCTGAGTCCCAGTGGGCTGAGTCCCAGAGGCTCACGGCCACCAGGGCAGTGGGTGTGGGGAAGGTGTGGAGCAGAGATGGGTGGAATTCACGCACTCGGCCTAGACCCTATGCTTCGTCTGGAGAAAAACACGTTCTGGGTGGGGCCACTGCCTGAGATCACATCGGGCCCCTGCCGGGGCATAGGCATGGCTGGCTCTGGCCTCCTGGTCCTCCTCTGAGTCTGCAAGCTGTGTCAAGCCACCCCATTCTCGAAGCCCTTCCTGGAACCAGAGGACCCAGGGGACCAATAAGCCAGATGCCAGGTCACCTCCCTCCTTGCACAGCAGTCACCGGGCCAGATAACCTGAGGTCCTGCTTATCTGCTGGGACCTTTTCCAGGCCTCCTGCACCCAAGGCCACCTCGGGCCAGGTAGCCATCAGCCCCACTCAGGATGCTGGCCTGGCCCCTGCCCACTGGGCCTCCACTTCCTCCCTGTCCCACCCACGTGATGAGTCACCCCAGCAGCCTTCTCTGCCCTCACCTGTCCAAGTCCAGGAGCCCTGGGGGGCCAAGTCACTTATCAATGATGGACCAATCCTTCCAGCTGCTGCTAGCCACGCCCAGCTGCTTGCTCCCTAACCCTCCACCCTAACCCTCCTGTCCCTCCTGGGTCCGGAGCTGCCCCAGGCCACCCCTCAGATAGGCCCTCCAACGTGGCTCCCAAGCACCTCACTGTACTGCTGCCTCCTGCAAGGTGGGTCCAGGCGGGCGCCCACCCTGAACAGACAGCACTCACTGCTGCATCCCTGCCCCAGGTAGTCACCACAGGGGCAGCTGTTCATGAAAGGGAAGCCTGCACTCCGACAGGTACCCATCTTCCCAGGCAAAGCCACGGGCTCCACCAGCCCCTCATGGCCTTCCCAGGCCCAGCCCCCACAAGCCACGGTGGCCACTGCTGTGACTGCTCATGTGACAAATGTCTCCATGGTGGCACCTTGAACCTGAGGCAGGCAGGGACTTCTGGAGTCACTGGCTTGTTAGTGTTCACTGCTGCCCTCAAGTCCCAAGGCTGAGATGCGGCAGCAGGATGCACAGCCTCACTCCACCCTGGAGCTAGAAGCAGCACGGGTCTGAGCACCCCACAGTCAGCCCCATTCCCTGGAATGGGGTCACATCCTTTTCAGAGCCTGTGTAGAGCCACTCCAAGCGCTTGGTGTGCTCCCCCAGGAATAGGGGTAGCGTGGACAGCAGATGCCCCCGCTGGGCTGGCTGCTCTGCCATGAGACTGCTGGCCCTCCTCTCCTGGCAGGACATTGGGTCCACGCACAAACCAGTGCAGGTTGAATTTCACACATGCCCAGCAGAAATCCAGGCAGGGCAGCCTGGCCATCCTGTCCTCAAGAATAGGGTACAGCTAAGTCCACTTCTTGACCACCCACAGAAGCTGCCCAGGGGCATGCACCACCTGCCAGCCACTGTGGTGACCACCTAAGGGCCACCCCAAGGCAGGCCACCTAACCCCCATATCAGGACTTGAAACTGGCACAAGAGGGGGCATGGAACAGGTATAATGAGACCGGCCTAGGGCCCACCTCCCCAGCACCTGCCCCAGCCTTACTTGGCCTCCTGGGCCACAGAGCCAAGCCCAAGCCCCACTGGGGAGGTCTGAGGCCCCATGGCTTCCAGGCTCTGCACCTTCTGTCCCCATCCAGGGCCTTCCCAGCTCCAGATGTAGATCTACGCCATCATCTGAGACAGCTGCTCCATCCAGCAGGGAAATTTCCCCACCCCTTCCCAGGGATGGCAGACACGCCCAGAAAATCCTACATGAGGAACCGTGCTGAGCTCGGCCCAGGAACCCAGTGCACGCAACAGACACGACAGACAAGACAGATTCCTCTGCAGAGACGGATATATGTAAAGTGCTACGTACAGCACTCGAAACCAGTCTGCACCCAGCACATCTGGGCCTAGCCCTTGCCCGTGAGGTCCAATGGCTGCAGGAAGGGTGGCAGCGGCAGCTCATCCAGGGCCTCAGGGAAGCGGCCGGGCGAGATGGCGGTGACCAGCACCTGCATGGCACGCGCAAAGAGGGAGGGTGGCGCCAGCCCCGCCAACCACTGGAACTTGTCCTCACCCAGCAGCCGCTGCCAGCGCGGCCTATCGCCCAGCAGCTCACGGCGGGCTGGGCCAGCGGCGCCTGCAGGGGTGTAGAGCGCCAGCAGGTCGAGCAGCAGCAGGCGGCGCTGGCGAGGCTCCCCAGCGGCAGAGGTCCCAGGGCCCGGTGCCTCGCGGCCCAGCTGCCGCAGCAGCAGCTCAAGCGGAGTAAGGCCACCACTGTCCCGCAGGCCGGGCGAGGCACCATGGCCCAGCAGCAGGAAGAGGCACTCGGGCCGCGCCAGCTCGCAGGCCACGTGCAGTGACGTCCCGCCGCCCTCCACGCGGCTGCATCCTCGCCGGTCCAGCAGGCGTGCACGCTCGTCAGCCGGAAAGTCGCGCACAGTACGCAGGATGCGGCGCAGGATGCCCACGCGGTTGTAGCGCACTGCCAGCGCCACGTGCGGCCCTGGCGCGGCGCAACAGCGGAAGCCTGCGCTGGGCGGCGCGAGTGCGCGGCGCGGGAAGGTGGCCAGCAGGTGGTGCGCGTAGGCCTGGTGGTCGTGCACGAGTGCATAAAGCAGCGCCTCCGACGGCGAAAAGGAGGCCGCGCGCCCGCGCTCGTCCCAGTGGAAGGCCTCGCTGGCACGCATGTCCTCGAGCAGCCACACGGGCAGCAAGTCACGCACCGCCTGGTAGAAGGCAAACGACGACTTCCGGCACTGCTTCTGTGCTCGTGAGCGCCCTGCGCTCGCGCCCTCCGGCCCACCGTCACCGCCACTCCCGGGCCGAGCGTCCCACGGCATGTTGGTTGTCTGCAGACCCGGCGCCTCGGGGTCACAGCATGGGCCTGCCACAAAGCTCGACCTGCGGATGAAGGGGGTGTGAGCGGCTTGGCCCGGGGAGGGCACACTCATGCACTGTAAAAATGTCCCACTGCCACCCTGGAGTCGGCGGATTCAAGTACTGCCTTCCAGGTACTCCAACACTCCTGGGCCCGGAAGCACGGCCTGCAGCCTTGATCACGCCGTATCTGATCTCCCCCCCCAAATGCCCTTGCTCTCTGGCTCCCCTGCTAGAGAAGTCCTGCTCTGCCCACACTTGGGCGATGCCCCACCTGTCTCCACCTGAGCCAAGTTGGCCACCCCTAGCTAAAGAAGATGTCAGGAAGGAATAGAAAAGCTTGGGCCCATCTCGCCATCGAATAGGTTCTCCAGCCCCAGCTCTCCGGTTCTGGCCTCAGCCCCAGCCCCACTGCAGCGCAGACCATTCCCAGGCTGGCCTGGGGCGCGCGCTGCTAGCCCACCTGCCTGCCGGGCGTCCGGTCTGATCCGATCCGAGGCCGGGCGCTCACGCTCCCTTGCAGGGCCTCAGCGTCCTCATCTATAAGACAAGGGCAGGCGGTTAGCCGGGTCCTGCTCCCAGCAGCACAACAGGCGCCGTCCCGCAGCCCTCGCGCCCAACGCCGGCGTTTGCCATCGCGCCCAGCGGGGACCGGCCGTCCAAGGTCAGTGCCCAGGTTGGGGCGCCAGGCCTCGCGCTCTCTCCGGGGCCCTGCGCGGCAAGGACCCCGGCGCTGCCTCCCATCCAGGGCGGCCGGAGACATAGGGGTGGCGCCCGGGTGGCGGAGCAGGGCCCAGAGGTGGCCGCGGCCGCGCCCCCGGACCACCACAGTCCGGGCCCGGGCGCCAGGTGCCAGTGCGGGCACGAGGGGAGGGCGTAGGGAGGGTTACGTAAAGTTCGGCCGCGGGGAGGGGACCGCGCCCGCCCGCCCGCCGGTGCCCAGGCGGCCAGTGGCCGGAGGTTGCACCTGCGGCGCTGGGCACTGAGAACAAGCCGCGAGGGGACTCACCGCCGGGGCGACCGGGCCGCGAGCCGGCGTCCCAGTCCTCCGAAGATGAACAGACGAGGTCCCACGGCGGCCAGGAGGAAGCTGCCGCCGCCCGCGCCCGCCGCAGCCGCGCTCTGAGCAGCCGCGGCCGGGTCGCTGGGCGCCGGGCGGGCACCGGGCGGGCGGCGGGCGGCGCAGTGCGGCCGGGGCTGGGCAGGACCGCGGGGCCGTTCGCGGCCGCCATTGGCCAGTGCCGCCGGCCCTCGCCGTTGCCCATTGGTCGCCGCGCTGCACCATTGTTACGTCACGAGATGGTGGGCGGGACCCACAGCAGGACCCGCGGAAAACTTCGGAGAAACTTGAGGGTGCGCCGGGGGAACCGGGAGGGGCGGGGCAGGTTGAGGGGCGGGGCCTGGCGGGAATGGGGCGGGGCTCCAGTCCGCGAACTGTGGGCACCAGGTTCTGGGTGGCCCAGCCCGGCCCAGCAGGGACCGGGGCTTTGGCTGCATGGTGCTACCGACTTGCTTGAGTACGGTCCGCCCTGTGTGGCTTTCTTCGTTGCCCCACGAGTTCCAAGCCCCAGAAGACCTGACCCTTGATGAGCAAACCTGACCTTTTTTTTTTTTTCCTTTATTTTTTTAAATCGATACAGGGGATCGAACTCATGACCGCCTGCTTGCAAGGCAGGTGCTTATGCCGCTGAGCTAAATCCCAGCCCCTTTTTTCTTTTTTTTTTTTTTTAATCGACACCTGACCCTTGATGACCTTGGGAAACTCCCTGAAGCCCTTGCCCCTACTGAGACAGAGGGGAAGGGGCAGCTGTGACCAGGCCCACAACAGCCTGTGCTCCAAGTGGACTAGCACAGTCCAGTCGGGGAGAGGTGGGCTCGGAGGGAGAGGCCCCACTGTGCTCCCTCCATAAACAGCTTCAGGCCCATGTCTGTCTTCCCAGCCCTGTCGAGGCTGAGGCAGGAGGATCACTTCGAGTTCAAGGCCAGCCTGAGCTACATAGCGTGACTGTGGCTCCAAAATACTGAGACTGTATTCCAAAAAGCCCCATTATTCTCTTACAAAATTCGTTTACCTTGTCTCCACAGCCACCAACAACAGCACGAGTTATGACCACCACCCATCTCACCTGCAGGGAGATCCTGCCCACAGGTCACACAGAGCCCCCACTCAGTGTCTCAGAGATGACCAGAGACCCCCACAGGGACAGAGGACAAATTCCTGGACCACTAACCTGTTACTCATTAAAAGCGGAATTTGAGCTTTCTTCAGAGTCAGCCAGGGTTAGTTTAAAAGTGGTGTTTGTACAGCTATGTCTGGTGGCGCACACCTGTAATCCCAGCACTCAGGAGGCTGAGGCAGCAGAATTGTTGCAAGTTCTAAACCAACTTGAATTACATAGCAAGAATCTGTCTCATTAAAATAAAAGCAAGCTGAGGGGCTGGGGATTTAGCTCAGTGGTGTAAGCGCCTGCCTGGCAAGCTTGAGGTCATAGGTTCCATCCCTGGTACCAAAAATAAATAAATAAATAAACTAGCTGGGCGTGGTGGTGCAAACCTGTAATCCCTGTAAGCACTCAGGAGCCTGAGACAGGACGAGTGCTTTGAGTTGGAGGCCAGCCTAGGTTACTTGGTGAGTTTAAGGCCAACCTTAGCTGCATACTTAGACCCTGTCCCAAAAAGACAAAAATAAATAAAATAAAAAGTACTAATAAAAATAGGTTGGCAAAACAAGGTTCCTTAGGGACTGGAGATTTAGCTCAGCGGCATAAGCGCCTGCCTTGCAAGCAGGCAGTCTTGAGTTCGATTCCCAGTACCGGTAAAAAGGAAAAACAGAAAAAAAAAAAAAAAAACAAGCTTCCTTAGCTCTGGCTTGCTGAGCCTGTCTCAACTCCTCAAGACTGAGGACAAGGTGGGACACACAAGGATGTCCAGCTGCCCAGATGGTCACCTGGCAAACAGACTACCCCCAAGCCCCAAGGAACCCTCCAGACCCTGGAGCTGCGACAGCTAGCCTGGGACCGTGATCCAGGGAGGATCTCCAATTCTCCTGCATCTGGGTCAGTGCCCTCGACCATGGCCCTGGGTCTCCCACAGAAGCCTCTGTCATCCTCCGATATTTTACTCCAGGTACCTTGATCTCAGGCAGAGCTGGGCGCCTCATTTTCTCACTATCCAGTCACAGCTTTTTGCTGTAAACCTATCAACTTTTAAATTCTGTCACCTCAGAAGCAAGGATCACACCAGTTGGTGACAGGGGACAGGGGCGCCCATCAGTAGAGAGCCAGAAGGAAGCCAGTGATTCCCCTGCTGTGGCAGCACCCTTGGGACCTAGGCTCGGGCCACCCAGCTTCTGACTGGGGTCCTGACATCAGGAGTGTAGGCGCCCAGGGTCCATCCAGCGCCCACGTTTATGCTATGCTTACACCCAGCATCTCTCCAAGGTCTCCCTCTTCCCAGACCAGGCCCTGCACTGGGAAACACCCATGTCCCCAGAGGGCTAGGAATACCCACACCTTCTTCCCGGAACTGGCTCAGCCTCCTGTGTGGGAGTGCCAGGCACATCTGTGCCTGCTCATGCCTGTTCCCACTCACACCTGCGCCTGCTCACACCTGTGTCCACTCACACCTGTGCACGCTTGCACCTGTGCCCACTATGCTGCTCTGGCTCCTTGGTGTACGCAGAGTGTTGCCAAAGCAGGCTGCTGCACATGCCCCCTGGCACCATTGAGCTCCCCAACCCCACCAAGGTGCTGGACACTCATGGCTCCGCCCCAGTTCCCTGAAATGCTCCCCCAGCTGGGTAGTGGTTCAGGGGGCACTGGGCTGAAACCTGGACCTGGAACCTGGACCTGCTTCTGTGACCTCAGCCTCGGTCTTTCCCCTTTCCTCGTCTTCCTCCTGGCTTCTTCCCCTCCCCCTTCTGCATGTGATTGGGCCCCTGACTGGCTGGGACATCCTGGGAGGGTGACACCCTGGGTGGGCTGTCACCTCCACTGTCTCTGCCACCCTTCCTGATGGCCCCAGAGCTGCTTCCTAAGAGACAAGTTTGTCCTGGGGCATGGTCTGGAGTACCACCTTGTCTTGGACCTGGCAGAGAGAGCTTTGGCGGGGCGGAAGGGCGGGGCAGGGGCCATGCATACTGGGAAAGGAGTCTGGACTTGTCCCAGAAGCCCAAGGTAGGGACAGATTGCAGCCAGGGACTGTGTCCAGCTCATATCCACCACCCGGAGGCTCGCAGTGAAGGGCAGCCCAGGGTCTCCAACCACAGCCACACCAAGTGTACCGGTTCCGTTCATGGCCACAGCAGGGCTAATACTGGAGCCACCATCACAGCTGACCACAACAGCCAAGGTCACTGCATTGGCTTACATGTCCCAGGGCTCAAGTACTGGAAACTGACTCGCCGTGGTGACAGGTGACAGTGTGACAGGCTGGCCCTGCTCTGCCCTGGAAGAGGGGATGTCCAGGCGCTCACCCTTAGCCCACTCCTGTCCTGTGAGAAATGAATCTTGTTCTATAAACCCAGCAGCCAGGTCCTGCTCTGTGGCCACACAAGATAGGGACCTGTGTAGCCGAGATCGTAGTCTCACTGGGTCCAGCAGGTGTGGACATCACCACCCACATTTGCACCCCAGAGAACAGCTTCCAGGCCTGGCAGAGGCCGCACAGGGCACATGTGGACATTGGGTGGGTCAGTCTCTGCGGAGGCCCGGATGGACATGGGGTGCAGAGGGCAGCTGGGGCCAGGAGGCCTCTAGGGGAGGCTAAGGGTCTCCCTATCTGGGGACAGCTGTGACCTTTGGCCCTGCCATGCTCTTGCTGGAACCTGACCCAAGGACCGACCCCTCCCTCAGAGAGCCTGTTCTGCCACCACAGCCACTGGGACAAAGGTCCCTGAGATAGGCAGGAGGCTGCATGAAGGGGGCAATGAGAGTTGGGGTGGGGACAGCAAGGGGAGTAAGTGCAGGGGTACCATCTGACCTCTGACCTTGGTGGGGGTGGAGTGTGAGACCCTGAGGTTAGAGGAGGGGGGGTAGGCAAAGGTATCCATGGCAATGGAGTGGGGCCTAGGCCACAGGTGAGGAACAGTTATGCTACAGCATGAGGGGCTCAGTGCAGGGAACAGCAGGACAGAGAAGCCAGGATCCCATGCCCAGAGCCTAGTGCTCCCAGCTGAGGGGAAGGACATGGTCACCAAAGGTCAAGGTGACCAGGGAGGAGGATGGGGTCAGCAGGAGGAGGGCCACCAGCCAGCTAGGCAAGGGGGTTAGCGACACTTTGGTCTCACATCCTCTGGAGAGGGTGGGAAGACAGGTGGGGAGGTGGACCTATGCACAGGCTATGTGCAGACGGGACATCACCTGTGCTGTGTGCGGTCAGCAGCTAGCTGTGTGCATATGCCTGGGGCAGCATCTTGCACGAGCATGTGCACGAGGAGATCACGCAACAGGCGACTAGGGTGGTGGGACCAGCTGGCAAGGTGGCAGGCGTGGCACAGGGGCCCAGACCCAGACCCAGAAGCCCAGAAGGTGAGGGCAGAAGGTAGCCATGAGCCCCAGAGGCCACGGTCCCAGGTGCTGCCCTTCTGCCACCAACTGCAGGAGGTCGGAGCTCACCCGGCTTTGCACGGTCTGTACCTGGCCACGCGGCCTCCTACAGTGCTGCGGCGGTGCCTGTCCCCGCCTGAGCACAGTGCCAGCTCGCCCACCCTATCCCCACTGCACCCTGGGCTGGTGCAGCTGCCACTGAAGGCAAAAGACAGGAGGAAACTAAGAGGCAGGCGGTGGTGGCGCACAGCCAAGATCCCAGCACTTGGGAGGGTGAGGCAGGAGGATTGCGAGCTCAAACCCAGCCTGGGCAACTTAGTCCTCTGCTGAAACCCTGGCTTTCAAGGGCTGCAGCCTCCGTACTGCGTCTGAAGGACACGCCGGGGACAGGGGCCGCCTGTGCCACCGCCCTGGGCGCACCCAGCCTGGGAGGGAGGCCGTGCACACCACACGGGGGACTGTGCAGCGGACATGGAAGGGGTCGGGCGCTGCCCCTCGACCTGAGGCGTCCGTGCTCCCCAGGCCACAGGGAGCGAGGCAGGCTTCCCGGAGGAGGCGGGGTCCCCTGCCCCATCGCCGGACACAGCCCTGGCCCTGGCCGCCACACGCCGGAGCCTCGGTCCCGCGGCGCTGTGGCCTGGCG